TCTTGTAATACTCTGATTCCTCTCTGTCTTTAAGCTCCATGGTTAATTTACCCATTTCCGCACAATCAATTCAATTCTATTTACAATTACAATGACTGGCAATGCACATTCCAGTCCCAATTGTGGTCATAAGCGGAGGAATATCTATATCTTATTTCCGGTCCACGAACAAGAGAACGCGCACTGCCTCGAGAATAGGTGGGACAGTAATTCCCTAGTACTGCACAAGATACTCAGGCGCACAGTGACTGGGTCTATGGCAATGCAGCTCACATTTCCCAATTAAAAATATTGCAGGATGAATCATGCTATAGTCAACTTCAGTATAAATCAGAGGCTCCTAAACTTCTTGCCATCGCACCTCCTTTTAGTGTAAATTTAATTTATATATATTTCCTAAAAGTCCCAACTGAAAAATGAACATAAATGAACAATGAAAAACAATGAAACTTTGGCAAAGGTGGATTTAGTGTAACAAAGTAACAAAGGGAAGATCCAAGGGAAGTACACCTCACAGTTTGAGAAATCCTGTTCTACGATAGCAGTAGCCTTTAGATTTATATACTGCTTCACAGTGCTTTACAGCCCTCTTTAAGTGGTTTACAGAGTCAGCATAAGATCTACTGTGATTTACTTTGTTTAGATTTATAACACACTCCTTTTAAACAGTGTAACTTTGGGTGGCTACAAAAATAAACAATAAAGAAAAATATTAAACAGATTCAATATATAAATCATCATCATCATCATCATGTTAACCATTGTCTATACACTGCAGAATGAAGACTTCTTCCACATGTTTCCAGTCAATATGCTCCTAAACTTTCTTTTACCAATTGGGCCCACGAGATAGATAGATAGATAGATAGATAGATAGATAGATAGATAGATAGATAGATAGATATTAGATAATATAGGTCGGGGAGAATACTGTACAATGCAATTGTAGTAGTAGAGATAGTCCTCAATTTACAACAGTTCGCTTAGTGACTGTTCAAAGTTACAACGGCACTGAAAAAAGTAACTTATGACATTTTTCATATTTATGACCATTGCAGCATCCCCATGGTCACGTGATTTACATTTGGATACTTGACAACTGACTCACATTTATGATGATTGCAGTGTCCCCTGGGATCATGTGATCACCTTTTAAAACCTTTTGACAAGCAAAGTCAACGGGGAAGCCAAATTCATTTAACAACGATGTTATTAATTTAACAACTGCAGTGATTCACTTAACAAATGTGACAAGAAAAGTCGTAAAATCGGAAAAAAACTCACTTAACAAATGACACACTTGTACTCCAGGTACTGTGTTGTTTTTTGTCCAGAATTTCACTGCTGTGCAAGGATATCTATGCTCTCATGTATGAGTTAGTCTTCACTAATCTGACAGTTGCAGAAACAAAGGCCAGATGGAAACTAGTCAGCCAGCTCAAAAAAAAAAAAAGTCTAATGTTTGTTACATGGGGAATAAAGGAAAAAATGAAACACAGGAGAGTTTGAGCATTATTTCTACATAGAATTTGTTGTTGAATCACAATTGTTGAAATTCCTTGATTACTTCTTCTTTCTTCATCAAACACTACTTATGTGAAAGGGGGAGATGCTGTTGTTCTTTTGAGCCAAACTAGTGGTTCTTTCCTACCAACAGAGTGAAGCTTTGCAATTTATTTCCTCTGCAATTCTGTAGAAAATGTCTATATTCCAGTTACTGAATTGCTATTTCTTCTGCACCTTGTAGCTCTCTCAGCCCTTTCCCACGTGTTTTCCAAATAGCACTTAGTGGGCTGCTTTCCCTCCTGGCTCATGTTTTGAAAAAATACATGATTGGCCTTTAAGCCTAGGTATAATCATCACAACTAACATCACACAACCTCTTTCCCTGACTAGTGCTACAACAGCAGTGTTGGCAATGCACGATAAGGAGTCCAGTTCTCAATTTTGTGGTTGCTAGCAGCTAGGGGGGAAAACCCAGTAAATGGCAATGGAAAACATGTATGCTACACCAATTTCCAAAGTTATGCCACTAGGAGTGGCTTGCATATCTTAAAATGACTATTAATAGTGCCCAGTGTCACCAAAGCCATAACATAGGAGGAAAAATGTAGTTGCCTCTGTCTACAACAACAGTCAATCCAATTTACCATATCTATGTACAAAATACACAAAATGATCTAAAAATAAATAATCCAGACAGGTAAATCGTGTTTCTGAGCACGAATGAAAATGATGCAAAGAATCTTATGCAACATTGCCCCCTGGCGAAATGTATTTGTTAAAACACCATATTCTAAAACTCCAATTCCATTTCTGTGATCTGGGCATTGGAAGCAGCACACAACGTTAAGCAAACATATTAGCTACAAAACCTCCAGCTGTACAAATGGCTCTTATGAGAAAAGGTTGTTGTTTTTTAGAATGCTAATGATTCTTTTAAACCACTGAGGCCATGGCCGAGAGAGAAAAACAGAAAATAAATTGCATAGCATCAGGCAACTTTAGGGGCTATTTCTGTATGTTTCCACCCATTCACTGAGGCCACCTAGAGGTGAGGGCATTCTCAAGGTGTGTCAATTGAGAAATGTAATTTTGCAGTATCTAGGAAGCATACCTTCTCAGTAATGGTCCCTGTCCCCTAGAATGATATCCACCCAGATACGTACTACTCCCACTTCTGATTTTTCACAAATGGTTAAAAACCTACCTGTTCCCCCAGATCTTGGGTTAGGGTAGTGTACAAGCCTTCCCCCATTTTTGGTGATGGTGATGATATTGGTCTTTTTATATTTTGAGGTTGGTCTTCTGATCAGCTGTATTATTTCTATTAATGTTTTCTTCTTTTTTATATACACTGAGAGCATATGCACCAAAGACAAATTCCTTGTGTGTCCAATCACACTTGGCCAATAAAGAAATCCATCCATCCATATCTACTTCCTTATTCTTCTAAATTGTTAGTTTTGGTTGGGCAGCACAAAAATTGAAATATTAATTTATAAGAAGTTCAAGCTAACAAGTGTCTTTTAAATGCCAAACTAAATATTAATGACAACAGTTCTACTTAGCAAGCACCATATGAAACATGTGTGTTTCAAATGAACTTGCATTACTTTAAGCATAAATTTAATGTCACTGAATTATTTCAAGTGCCTACTTAGCCCATCTTTTTTTTCACACAGGGGCATATTATACAACTTTTTTTTTCACAGGGGCATTCATACAACCTACAAACATAGCTAGTTGAAATATGCCTTTTTCTAACAATCTCCAGCAGCTGGTATTTAATATATGATATCAATTATTTAGGGGACAGTGAACCGCCATCAAGATTAGCTGTTGATAAATTTCAGAGTCCATGGACCTATCTAGTTCCTTTTTTTACCTATCTAATGTAGTGGTCATTGCCACCATCTGATGGAGTGAATTCCATACCTGAACTATGTATTTCTAGTCCTTTTTGCACAATATCACTGACCTCACCCAAGAAGAGGTCATGTCTGACATCACTGACACCTTTATGACTTCAGACTGAAAGAACATGGCCATTCCAAGCTGAACAGATGAGGTTTCTTAGGGGGGAAAACCCACACAAAATGCCCTGTGTATTACTTGGACTATCTCAACAATGCAGTAAACACTTTGCAAGTCTCAGGACTATATAAAAGCAGTGAAAAACAGGTAGGTAGCTTTCTTCTAACTGGTTGGTATCTTCCAGGTATGTTGAACAGTAGCTTCCAGACCCACAGGAAAATTGTAGTCTAATATTCAAGATTGTCACCTGACTGAGAAATTTCAGTGGAAATAAGAATCAAATGGAGGAAGAAGGGACTTAATAGCAAATAAATTGACTGAATAGGCCAAATTTCCCCATCTCAAGACTCTCCAAATCCATTGAGTGTAGACCTTATCACTGCAGCAAACACTATCGGTCATTACTCCTTAGAGGATGCATGCTATAAGGTGGGTCAAACCAAATGATTTACCTCAGATATTTTGTGAAATATCTGGTTCATACATCTGAAAATTGGACTGACAGATTTGGTTTATTTGAACAGTCCTCCACAACTATCAGATTAAGCACAGATGGTCTTCCACAACCATCATTTTCCCTTCCAGTTACATTCCATCCAGTCAACCTTGATTCCTGGTGACTACAGGAACAAGCCTCTGCCCTTTTCTTGGCAACATTTTCATTTTGTAGTTTGTCACGGTCTCTTTCTTCCCAGGGTTGAGACAGGCAGGCACCAGGCTAAAAATCACTAGCCTGGTGCCTTTCATGGTTGCACCAAACTAGCTTTCTGTTCATCAGAATGGTACCCTATGACTATCATTAAGTGTTGTACCTTATGATTCTTGACAAATGTATATTTTCTTTTTATGTACACTGAGAGCATATGTGTGTCCAATCACACTTGGCCAATAAAAAATTCTATTTTATTCTATTCTATCTTCCCAGTTTTGTCTGATGAAGCGGGAATGAGTGACCACACCCAAAATAAAGAAATAATCTTGCATGTTTCAGATGATTCATGTTAAAAGAATCTGATCATTCCAAATACAGGGTTTCCTAAAGTTGGCAACATTTAAGACGTGAGGACTTCCAATTACCAGAATGCTAGCTGGGGAATTCTGGGAGTTGTAGTCCACACATCTTAAAAGTTGGCAAGTTTGAAAAATGCTGACTATATTTCGGGGAGCGGGAGGAGCCTTCCTCCATATATAAGGCACAACCGCTCTCCCTTGGCTGCCTTGGTGATAATAATCCAGTCCTTGTCTGGTAGAAAATGCCTTTCACCACTCGCTCCCCCCCCCCCGTCACCCGCCTCGCTCAAGTTTGTTCCCGCCTAGTCGGCGCTTCATAACAATGTGCGCTTGCGCCGCTCCGCCGATGTCGACAGAGCCTTCCATTACAGGAAGGTAACCACTAGTACGGTCTCGTTCTCCTTTTTCTGACCATAGAGTCTCTGACTACCACCGCAAGCGGAATGGAGCCAGTGACAATACAATACCAACCCTGGCGGCAAGGCCAGCCGTAAAGCGAGCGGCAATCAAATGTCGCGCGCGGTCGCCTCGGAGGGAAAGGAGCTCGTGAGAAGCCACGCCTCTGACCCCTTTCTCCTTCCTCTCCCTCAGTCCTTCCTCGGGGCCAGTCATAAAGTAAAACGACGCGAAGTGTCGCGCCTCGTCCCTGATTCTGGAGCCGCGGCGGCCAGGCCTGACAGGAAACCTAGTCGCGCTTTACGGCCGCTGGATGAGGAGGAGCGGAGAAAGGGAGCGGGAGGTGCCGCGGCTGCTGCTGCTGAAGGGACTTTGGGGTGAGGAGGAGGAGGAGGAGGAGGAAGAGGGAGCACGCGGGTGGGGTTGTGTGAATGGAAAAGGAAAAGGGAAGAGTTGGGCGTTTTCTTCTTACACTTTCACTCTTTTTCTCTTCGCTTCCCTCCTTCCTTTTGGTCTCCTCAGGACATGGCCGAGGTACCGCCCGGGCCTAGCAGCCTCCTCGCTTCGCCGCCGGGAGCCGCCGCTGCGCTCCTCTCTCCCTTTCCGGGAACTGCTGAAGAGGAGGAGGAGGAAGAGGAGGACGAAGAGGAAGGAGGAGGAAGGCGCTCCTGCAGGGAGGAGGAGGAGGAGGAGGAGGAGGAGGAAGCTGAGGAGGAAGGCATGCGGGAGGGGAGCCTGCCCCGCCGCCGCGTTTGCCAGCCCCATCGCCACTACCATCAGCTCAACGGGCTCATCGCTGGGTCGGACTTGCGGCACTTGCGAAGCTCCCTGAAGGACAAGGTTTTAAGCAACAGCAACGAGAACCAGTGTCCGCCCAATAGCAAGAAAAACAGCAAGGCCACCATCACCACTGGCCCTGGCAAAACAATGGGACACGGGCAGGAGCCCCAGCATCCCTGTCAGGGAGGGGAACGGGAGACAAGTCCATCTTCACCACTCAGCAACCACCACCAGGCCCCTTGCCCCCAGGCAAGGACTGCACAGTCCCAGCAGCAGCAGCACTACCACCACCATCACCACTGTGATGCTTCTGCTCCCTCTGCTGGGGACAGGAATGGGCTGGTTGGGGGAGGAGAGTTGGAGGAAGGTGAGGATCAGGAGTTGGAAAGGGAAGAGGAGTCCTTGCTACTTCTCTCCAGATCCTTGGCCTCTACCTGCAGTTTGCAAAAATGCTCCATGAGTCCCCATACAGACACTTCCTGGGGCCCCCAGCAGGTGAAGGAGGAGAAAGGGGACCTCACAATACGATATGTTCGATACGAGTCCGAGCTACAGATGCCAGACATCATGAGACTGATCACCAAAGATCTGTCTGAACCCTACTCCATTTACACTTATAGGTATTTTATCCACAACTGGCCTCAGCTTTGCTTTTTGGTAAGTTGGGGGTGCAGACATGATTAAAAATGTGTTGCAAGGTTGAAGGGTAAAAGGAAGAGTGTTGGAGATGGATGGACAGCAGTGGGTGATATGGAGAAAATTAATAGGGTAAGCAAAATTCTCACATCTGTCATTCACCAGTAGTCAAATTGTGAAATAAATCATACGCAAACTAGGTAATTATGTAAGTGTGGTTTGAACTATGCATAATTATTCATAAACTTTGCCCACATGTAAAGTGTAAACTGAAGACCAATCCCTCTATAATTTTGTTCCCAAGATAAAGGAAATTGAATTGTGCTTGGTGAATTTGGAATTACGTATGCTTATTTTTCAATGGTTTGGGGATACTGAGTTATATTGTCATTAGTTTGTTTTTAGAGTTTGTTCTATCAATGCCCAGTTAAAATCAGAAGTAGTAATGTCTTAGAAAATATTTGAGTTGAAATTTGTACAAAGTTTTCTATTTATGGAGCGAATGTTTGAGAAGTAAATTAGGATTAATACAATCTTACAATGCTACTGAAAAACTCATTTTGGGGATTTTAAATATGAATATTCCTTGGTACTTCATGGTATTCAATTTTAACTTGGTACCATTTATGTAATTTTAATGTTCTGTATAAAATTTAAATTGCAACTTATTTTCAGAGATGAAAGCCTACATGTTATGTGCAACATGCCTCTTACCAAATTGTATGTCTTAAATAGACATGATTCTATATACAGAAAGCAGTTCATTCTCCCATAAAAAGGTGAGCATAGATCTTGAACCATAATTGTAAGGAGAGGGTAGTTTGAAAGGAAAAAAGGGAGGATTTCTTAAATGATTCTACCATACTACATTAAATATTTCTTTTTTAAAAAGATAATTATGTTAGTGTTTCTTGTTTATTACTTATTAGCAGACTAAACTGCTATCTACTTAGTCAAATATCAGGTTAGCCAGCCTTCCTTTTAAAACTCCATGTATCATACAAGCAACGGGAAAAAAGAGTATGTTTGCTTGAAAGTCAGTTCTCTTAAGATACCTCTTACATAAGATTATCTAAGATATCTCTTTAGAGATAAGATATCTCTAAAATATTTTACAAATTAAAAGAAAAGTTTCTAATGGTTTGACATGTTTATTTGTGATGTCTACAGACCCTTAATACAGTCATTTTTAAAATTTTCAGTGAGAAAATATTCTGAGGATATTTGAGGTGTTGAAGCAAAGGCAAAAGGAGCAATAAACATGAAAACTTGCCTGAGTTAGATAGGATGACATGAAGATTTGTATAAGTAATACATCAATGTAATATAAATAAAAGCTTATAAGGGGCATCTCCTTGGGGAAACTCCTGCCCTAGCTGGATGAGCTATGTCCAGATTTATAGCTTTCATTTGGAATCTATATTCCCTTTTGCAAAATAATGAAAATAGGTAGCAACTATTATGTAAAAATAAGAAAGGTCTATTTCTATATTTCTGTTGGTTTGTTTAATGAATGGACAGTATAAGCAATGACTGGTTTAGACTCTACAGAAAAGTTTACAATTTTTCCCTATGCTGTCTCATGAAAAACAATTCAGAAATACAAACTTTGCTGTACAATATTTCAGTACTAGCATAATATCTTTACAGCAAACTAGGAACAAAAATAGTAGTTGGAAATGTAACAAACTATTTTATTTTCAAATATAGTCCTGGCTTTTTTAAAACAAAAAGTGACATGACAAAAAAAAGTTTACAAATGGTTATATATGTTTGTCTACATAGCAAAAACTTAGAAAGTAACTCAGAAACATTATGCCAGTCCTATTCTTATTAGTTTAATATGAGTGTAGGGGATATAGTGATGTTTGGTAACCTTCAAAGTCTTCAACAATGTTATCTTGATGTATTGGGTTATTAATGAATATTCTAGTATTGCAGGGTGTTAAAGGTTAACAAAGTAGCATTGCAGTTAATTTATTAATTTATTTATTAATTTTATTTCTATACCGCCCTTCTCCCGAAGGACTCAGAAAAATTAAGAACAGGATGGGTTACTTCTATATGTTAAGCAAGGCTGCAACTTGTCCTTCTAGGTTTCTTTTTAAGTAGGGATTATCATCAAACCAGGATACCATATGAAGGAATATGGTGTGTTGCTGCTCAAAATTATTGTTTTCCATATATTATGAAGAACATGTTTTGTGAAAATACCAATATCCCTATGTGATATGAGGAGAGCTTATAGATTGCTTGCAAACTAGGCCAAAGATCATTACATACTTGAAAGAATCTAGGAGAATATTAATTTATTAAGTTTTCCCTCCAAAATTACTTTCAAGGCTAGGAATTATTTACCTTTTGATTGCTCAGGAACACCCTCATGTTATCTGGATTAAACATTATTCAAACATTGATTAATAATATATTGGTGATCATATTGGTATTTTAGTACTTGAATAGCTAGCTTTGATTTTAACTTTAAGGATTTTAACATAGTCGGAAAGCTCAAGAACGTCCACATATTATCTGGATTAAACATTATTCAAACTTTAATTAGTATTGATATTATATTGGCAATAATATTTGTATTATATTGGTAATAATCTTGGTATTTTAGTATTTGAATAGTTAGCTTTGATTTTAACTTTTAAGGATTTTAGAATACTTGGAAAGTTACTCTCCCAGATATATTCATTGGATTAGAAGAAGTAAAAGTCCTAAGGGGTCCTCCCTAGAACTGATTGAAACACAGTTCCTCAATTCTTTAATTCTAAATGCATACCTTTTGGTATACAAAAGCAAATCTGACAAACCTGAAATCAGCCTGCTCTCAGTTTGCGATTTCCCCCTCTTTCATGGATTCGCCTGCTGTTTATCCCACCTTTCTATGGCTGGGATAATGTAATAAATTATGATTAATGTGCCTTCAAAAAAAGAAAAAGAAAAAAGCTAAGGACTTGAAGGCACATTGACAAGAGGAGGTAGTCTGTCGCATATACCTGATTTTATTTGATTTGGGTAGTGAGGTATATAAATTGGAATGTCTAGAAAATATTTAGGAAGCAATTCCAAAATGCTTTAATCAAAATGCTTTTTTAAGAATTGTCTTCCCGGAAGGACAGAAAAAATCCTCTGATTTCCCAGGATCAGATACTGATCACTCACAGGAATAGGAATAGATGATTATAACCCTGGTTTGGAATACTCAGGCATTGATCTTTCCAGTTATTATTGCTGCTTCACTGCCCTTTCTATCAGAAATTATTGCAGGATCAGTCTAAGTGTGATCTAATCTGAATCTAATGCTCATTTCTTTAATTTATCAAGTATTCTGCAGATATAATTAATTTACCTACATAACTTAGACCTAGCTTCATTTTTGGGTGAAAATACGGATTCTGACATTTGTGATTGCCTGGGTGTTTTAGAATTTTAAGATTCTAAATGAGATTTCAGAATAAAGTTTTCTTGACTTGCATGAAGCGTGGTCAATAATCTTGACTCATTGTATGAGCAAGATGCCCCTTTGCAGCAACAATCTGTTCTGTAAGCATTATAAATATTGTGTAAATAAACATCTGCAAGCATGAGGGTACATGCTTATTTTGAATGCTAGCATAATCATATTAAAAATCATGCAGGTTGAACAGTTGTGTTAACTATGTATATGTTTCGTGATCTTACTGCATGCACCTAATGCAAAAAGTAGATCAGAAAAAAACGAACGTTAGGTTTCAGCTAAAATATCATCTACAGCTGTAACTAGATTCAATATATTTTGTCAGGATTCATGACATTTTCTTTTTCAATTCTTACCTTTTCCAATCTCAACATTCTAAGTTACGTATTTTTATAGAAGGATAAAGATTGATGTTAGTACTTTTTGTCAGATCTACCAAGAGAAACATATTTTGAAACTAACAACTGTAAAATATAGATAAAAGTATATAAATCTCGCAATATCTATTATAAAAGAACCATGCAATGGATTTGTCAGAAATAACTTTATGAAAGCAAAAAAATTTAAAATGTGCTCACTAAAAATTACATTTTAAAATTGATCTACATTTCATAATCTTTGACTATTAAAATTACAAAGGCCATTTCTTTTTTCATGTTTCAGTTATTTCAGCTCTAATATAGCTCTTATTAGAATTGCTGATTGATCAATATTTCAGTTATGTACTTTCTACTTGGAATTTAATAATTCTGTTCCTCATAAAAATAAAAGATCCATTCTCAAAGAATAGAAAAGTATCACTGAAGAATAATTCAAACTACATTGAGATACTGGATAAAATACTGTGTAAGGTCCAGGCCAAACAGGCTAAAGATAACATTTAGTGTACTAAATATTATAAACAGAAGGTAGTTTGAATAGCTTCCTAACTTATATGCCTCTTAACACATGCCCCTTAGAAGATTTGTGAAGCTTTCTTAAATAACATAGATTTTTAAAAAGCAATAGAGAGAAGAAAGGCACCCTGAGTGCTATCACGCCATACATAAAAGATGCATCTACCCATTCTGGAGCAGTTTCTTATTCACTATTAGCCCTTTGTGATAGCAAATTAATACACTATGCATGTGTCTGGGCAGATATTTGTGCTCATACAACTTAACATCCAAGCCAAGGATTCTTTTGAAAGAAACTAATTTAAGCTTCTGTTAATAAAAGTTTTGGGGAATTTCCAAGATGGGATCTTTTTAAAAATGTGTCTATAAAATTGTGATTTTATGGCACTGTGTGTTAGCCTTAACCTACAAGATGTGTTTTGTTTGGTTTTTGTTTTGTTTTTAAGGCAATGGTAGGTGATGAGTGCGTAGGTGCAATCGTCTGCAAGTTGGACATGCACAAAAAGATGTTTCGTAGAGGTTATATAGCCATGTTAGCGGTGGATTCCAAATACAGAAGAAAAGGCATAGGTAAGAATAGCAGTTGCATCTTTTTGAAGCCTTCTGAAAGTAATATACTTTCAGTTAGCTATTGCTTTCAGGTAAATATTTTTGCATACAATTGCCTTTCTTTGTGGCAATTAATTTAATCAATATTTTTTTTAAAATGAAGCACTCTGCTATTGTCATGTACTTATGTGCAGCTCATGAGTCCTTATTCTGTGGATATCCACTTTGAACTCATCACCGACCCTATTCATAAAAGTTCTGCTGCAGTGATGTTGACAAGACAAACATGCCTCATATTTGTGAAATATATTCTCTTTAGGTTGGCTGCTTTCTCTTGTGAGCCACCGCTGTATACAAGAGATTCACAGGTTAAAAGGAGACTGGGGACAGAAATTTAACCCATTAAAGGAAAGGGATATGCATGATTTTATTAGCTTAGTCTGTACCCCATTGGTTCCCTTACTTTACCGTACACTATGTTGTGGCAGGCTAAGTGACACTGCCTCTGGAAACTGCTATACAAATTTTTGTAAGTCAATGCTAAAGGATAATCCTAAATAAGATCTTTGAATGTTGTGCCATGATACCTCATTTATACTTAACATAAAAGACATGAGTGTTTGGATTGCTTTCCCTCTCCCTTAGAGACATTTTTTTAAAAAATGTGTAGACTATCATATTACTAATTGTTACTTCTTAAATTATGCATGTGTTGGAAGATCAGGACACAGGATAGTTCATGCTAGTTCATGCTGTAATAATTTGTACTTGAAGTTTTTACATTTTTTGTTTTTTATTTGTATTCCAGGTACAAACTTGGTTAAGAAAGCTATTTACGCCATGGTAGAAGGAGATTGTGATGAGGTAATTATTTTGTTTCTTTGAAGGAACTTTGTTTTTCTCCCTTGCTTCACTTGAAGGCTATTTTTCCAAATGCAGTTTACTATTTAAGCGAGGCTTCGGTTTAAGTAAAATATTTTCAGAAAAACATACTGAATGTTTTCTGGGACTCCAAAGAATGAATTTGACTTCTTTGGGCTGTGCAGAAAAATACATGAAATCTGTCTTTACATGAGCAAAAACCCTAAACAGATCTAGATAGTAATATAAGTGACCTAAAGTAGTGATTTGACCTTGCATAGTATAGTAAAAGCTTATGATATTTTGGGGATATAGTACATGAAAATGAGGTAGCATGTAAATTACAGAAACCCATACTGGCTCCGTTGTCACCTGGATCAACAAGGACCATGCTAGGTGTTGGATTTCCTGGACATCTAGTAAAAAGTAAGCTACAGGACTCAGGATTAGCAGCTGCAGAACTACTGGAAGGAAAGGTGTTTTGATTGAAAACAAAGAAATAATGATCTGTTATTACAGTTTAAGTCCAACAAGAGAATTTTTGAAATGAATGTACCAGTTCTGGAAAGAACATCATCCAAAAACAGAAGCAACAGAACAGAGGCTAGCAACATCAATTTATAATATGAAATAAAATATTCACAGAAGCAGAATTGGAAGAATTGCAAATGTCTACCCAGGACAAAGAAATCAAAACCTTGCCAGAAGTAACTCAGACTATAAAGGCAAACTAAGGGGAGTTGGCAGTTAGAGGAAGCCAGCACAGCTATAGAACTGTTTTCATTTGGAAACCAGGCACCCTCTATTATGCCTCAGAAAGAACAAAGCCCTCTAACTAAAGAACTAGAAGAATTGAAGCAAAGAATAACTGAGCATCTAGAACAGCACAAAAACAATAGAATAAGGTTGCCTGCATTGAAGCTTGTTCCAAAGAAACAGCTGGCATAAGCATTAAAATATGCCAATGCTGTAATATTAAATATAAGCACCAGCTCACTGCATGAAACAAACCAACTAACATACAGCACATCTACAGTTATAACTGAATATCTGGGATGCAAAATCAAAGAAGAAAGAAGAAAATCTTTCTTCTTTCTGGGATGCAAAATCACTGAATATCTGAGATGCAAAATCAAAAAACAAAGAAGAAAAAAAGCCAAACAGTATACCACCAAAATGGAAGGCTGGAAAATAAGATTAGCAAACGAGATCAGATGCAAGTAAGCTAGAATTTAGATTTTAAAAAAACTGAAGAATACCTAATCAAGAAATACCACTTAGAAACAAGGAAGCTCAAAGAACACTGGAAATAATAAAGTAGCAAATAACAGCCAAGCAAATTAGCAGATACAAAACTTGAATTGCAAATTATAGGCAGAACCTTCAATTTTAATCCAGTCAGAAAGGTTTCTATCAGTCCATTAATGGAGATACTGCAGTGAAAGAACAAATATTCTACATTCATAGAATTATAGTGTTAGAAGAGAACATTTAAGTCATAAAGTTATATCTCCTACTCACTGGAGGAAATCCAAATTCCTTCATTTAACTTTCTATTTAACTTTCACTTGAAAGTTATCTAAAGAAGAAAAGCCCACAATTTTTCTGGGTACATAGTTCCACAATTGAACTGCTCTTATGGTTGGTGTTTTTTTTCTAACATTTAATCAGAATCTGCCTTCTGTGACTTGAATTCATTATTTCATCTCCTGAAATCCAGACACCTGATTTAATCTTCTAAAAATAATATATATACACACACACACACACACACACACACACACACACACACCTTTCATGTATTAGAAGAGTGCCATCATATTTTCCTTCACTCCTGTCTTCTTAAATTTAAATAAATCCATCTCTTAATCTTATAGGAATTAGTTTTCAACAATCTTCTGATCATCAACATTGCTCTTCCCTGAATCTGTTTCTGATCTGTTTCAATTCTTAACAGTGTGATTCCAGAATTTTACATAGTATTCAAGGCAAAGTCTTACAAATGCATAAAAAATAATAATTAGATTCCAAAATTGGTATGCCAAAAGAGTTGCTTTTAGGTAGTCAAAACACATTCCAAGTGATTTGGTTCATATATGTAATAAAATGGGGTTTAGTTGCAGCTGTGGGACAAAACACAGTGATTCCACGCAGAAATAGCTTTGGGGTTGGGTGAGGCAGGAAAAAGCCATGGTTAGCAGTAATAGCTGAACAGAGGGAGGAAAGATCCTGCAGGGGCATGTTAGTGGGATATTCTAGTGTTTTTGATGATCAATAGCAACTGAGGAAGGGATAAAAAGAGCTGGAAGGCTGCTCTATAAATTTATTAAAATCCTTAAAATTGAAGAGATGTGTTTAACTCATCTTTAGTCAGCCTTAAAATTAAGAATGTTTGCATTACCACTTTCCCCCATTCTTTGTGCTACTTCCACTTTCTTGACTTGTATTTTCTTTATTTTTAAAAATCAAGTCAATGGTAGTTGTGTCTTCCATCTTTTTTTAAAAAAAATTGAACACAAACTTATAAAATAAACTAGTCAAAATTATTATGAAGTGATTCTTCATAATAACTTATTTTTGGGAAGCCTGACTGGAAATTCACATTCCTTAAGTATCTAGAAAGCAAGAAATACTCAGAATACTATTAAACTTGAATGTCAGCATTGAATTGCTGCTTAAAGAGCAAGTGGTTTGGCAGGATTTGTTCAGAGAGTTTAGTTTTCTAGTAGCAATAATCCAGAGTTTTAGGTCCTTAGGTCTAACTACTTTTACTAGCAAAAAAAAAAAAAATGAAATGTATGATGCGACTTTTATTTATACTTGTGGTATTTTTCTTATAATACCAGTTTTATTTACATATAAAATTAATAATTATGCTAGTAGATTTAATAGAACATTTTGCAATTTTTTGCCATCAGATCAACTCCTAGCAATTATCTGGAGAAGTCCTTTTAGTTTTCTTGGCAACGTTTTGGAAGTGGCTTTCCATTTCTGATTTGCTCTCAAGAATTTAAAATGTACAGGTAGTCTTTGACCAATTGGGGCCACAATTTAGGCTGCTAAATGATGCAGTTATTAAGCAAATCATCATGTGACTGGATTTGATTTTACAACCATCTTTTTTGTGGTTAAGTGAATCGCATGGTCATTAAGTGATTTTGGCTTCCCCAATTGACTTTGCTTGGCAGAAGCCGGCTGGGAAAGTTGTAAATTGCAGTCCCATGAACACAAGATGCTGCAACCATTGTGAATGTAAACTGATTGCCAAGTGCCTAAATTGCAATTGCAATGACCATAGGGATGTGGTCGTTATAACTTCAAAGTCAGTTCATAAGTCACTTTTTTTTTGAGGCTGCAGTAACTTTGAACAATTGTGAAACAAACTATTGTAAGACTAACTGAAATAAGACTAATCATAAACTTTGTTATGGCTTAATGTAATATAAGCAGTAACATTTGTTCATGTCATTCAAACTTGTAAAAAACTCTTTAGTGAAGAAATCCAGTGACTACTAACAGTTATCTAATCACTTTTTCTTGATTAAAACGAGATGTAAATATTCTGGAAACCTCACTCTCTTAAATGTTGTGCTTCTAGATTGCTCAGTAATATAGTACCGAATTTTCCGGCGTATAAGATGACTGGGCGTATAAGACGACCCCCAAATTTTCCTGTTAAAATATAAGGTTTGGGCTATACTCGCCGTATAAGACTACCCCTCTTCCAACGCACACCAAATAAAAATTAAAAAAACATCAACTGGCTCACCCACAATGTAAAAGCAGCTGTGCTAGACCCAAAATGGCCCCTGAAACAAGCAGGAACCTCACACAGCCACAAAAAGCCCAAAAAACCAACTTTTACACTTTACACACGCACAACACAACACAACACAACTGGCTTATCCACAATGTAAAAGCAGCTGTGCTAGACCCAAAATGGCCCCTGCAACAAGCAGGAACCTCACACAGCCACAAAAAGCCCAAAAACCCAATTTTCACACTTTACACACACAAAATTCCACATACAGCTTTGTGAGATTTTGTGTGTTTGTGTAGTTAGAGTAAAACACTACAGAAACACACTAAATCTCAGAAAGCTGCACAAATATTATTTTATTTTATTTTATTTTTATTTTTATATGAAAGCTAAATTTAAAACTTCCTAAACTTTAAATGGCTAGTTCTAAAAAAGAACAACTAAAAAAAAACCCAATTAACTATTTTTTTTTAAAGATCCCAAAGGGGAAAAAAACTTACCCAATAGAATAGGGGTCTCCAACCTTGGCAACTTTAAGACTTGTAGACTTCAACTCCCAGAATTCCTCAGCCAGTTTTGTTTTGCTGGCTGAGGAAGTCAACAACTCCCTGCCTGCTTGATTGCTGATGGAATGGATTCAGGCAAGCGAAGCAAGGCAAGCAGCTAAGGCAGTGGTTCTCAACCTTCCTAATGCCGCGACCCTTTAATACAGTTCTTCATGTTGTGGTGACCCCCAACGATAAAGTTATTCCTAAAACCATCAAAAATATGTGTTTTCCGATGGTCTTAGGCCAGGGGTCCCCAACCTTTTGGACCTCAGGGACTACCAACTGCATAATTTTAAATTTCGCGGACCACTAATAGGAATCCAGTGCGCCGCTTGCTGAAGCACCTGGACTCCCAGTACGGGATGGGGTCCTTCAGGCACTCTCCCTCCTCTCTGTCTCTCTCTCTCTGTCTCCCACTCTCTCTCTCATTCTCTTTTTCTCTCTCTCATTTTCGCTTTCTCTCTCTCTCTCTCTCTCTCTCTCTCTCTCTCTCTCTCTCTCTCTTTCTTTCTTTCTCTCCCACTCTTTCTCATTCTCTCTTTCTCTCTCTCCCCCACTCACTCATTCTCTTTCTCTCTCCCCCTCTTTCTCATTCTTTCTTTCCCCCACTCTTTCTCTTTCTCTCCCCCCTCTCTCTCATTCTCTTTCTCCCCCCTCTTTCTCTCTCTTTCTCCCACTCTCTCTTTCTCTTTCTCTCCCCCCCTTTCTCTCTCCCCCCACTCTTTCTCTCTTCCTCTCTCCCCCTCTTTCTCTTTCTCTCTCTCCCCCTCTTTCTCTCATTCTCTTTCTCTCTCCCCCTCTTTCTCTCTCTCTCCCCACTCTCTCCCTCTCATTCTGATTCTCTTTCATTTTCTCTCTCTCTCTCTCATTCTCTCTCTCTGATTCTCTCTGTCTCTTTCTCTCATTCTCTTTCATTCTGCCTTTCTCTCTCTTTCTTTCTTTGTCTCTTTCTCTGTCTCATTCTGATTCTCTCTCTTTCTCTCTCTCTCTCATCTCATGGGCCAGCCAGTGTCTTGGGGCTAAGAGGAAGTCAAGCATCTCCCTGAGAGACTGAGGGCCGGAAGAAGTGTGGGAGCGAAGCACTACTTGAACTTGTGCGGCATGAGCATTCGCCTTGGTATATTTGCGCCAGCCGATGGCCAAGGCAGCCCTCATCTCTCTGCTGAAAGTGCAGCATCAGGATTCTGCCTTGGTATATTTGCGGCACAAGGCAGCCTTCGTTTCCTGATGCTTGGGACTCAGAGCGGTAAATGGTGACTGGTCCGGGGAGCAGCTGGATTTTGCTCTCCATTGCGGATGCCAGATCAGCCCCCTGCAAGATCTCATCTTTTGAGGAACGCTCCCTGAAGCGGGGCTGGAAACTTTGGTCGGGCTCCTCGAGAGACAAGATCTTGCAGGGGGCTGATCTGGCGTCCGCAATGGAAAGCAAAATCCAGCTGCTCCCCGGACCAGTCACCATTTACCACTCCGAGTCCCAAGCAGCAGGAGAGGAGGGCTGCCTTGTGCCGCAAATATACCAAGGCGGAATCCTGATGCCGCTCTTAAGCGGAGAGAAAAAGGCAGATTTTGCTCTCCATTGCAGGCACCAGATCGCCCCCCTGCAAGCTCTCCTCTCTCAAGCAGCCCAACCAAAGTTTCCAGCCCCGCTTCAGGGAGCGCTCCTCGAGAGACGAGAGTTTACAGGGGGCCGATCTGGCATTCAGATTAGAGAGCAAAATCCAGCTGCTCTCCGGATCAGACGCCATTTACCACTCTGAGTCCCAGGCAGCAGGAGAGGAGGGCTGCCTCGCGCCACTGGCTGGCACAAATATACCAAGACGGAATGCTGTTGCCGTACAAATGAAAGTAGTGCTTCACTCCCACAACTTCCAGCCATCGCAAACGCCGCTTCTTCCCGCTTCTGCCGCCCCCTCCCCCACCGCCACAACAGCACCATTCATTCCGGATGGCGAGGGCTGCGCTCGTTTTTCTGTATTGCACCACCTGCAAAACCCCTGTGAAAGGGTTGTTTGACCCCCCAACCACTGAGCTAAGGTAAGCAAGCTGGAGGGGGAAAAGTTTTTCCCTTCTCCATGGCTCTGGCGATCCCAGCTGAGTTGCCTGATTAGCAGATCGTCAGAGCTTGGATCGCCAGAGCCATTTAAGGCTTGTCAGAGCCTTTTGGGCTGGTCTGCCTGGTTACAGGAGAACGACACCCGGCATATAAGACGACCCCCGACTTTTGAGAAGATTTTCATGTGTTAAAAAGTCGTCTTATACTCCGGAAAATACGATACAGTTCTGGTTCTGGATTAGTTGTCAGCCCAAGCAAGCATATCTTCCAATATTTTCTGCAAGAAGAATGGACACCAGGGAAACATTTTTTGTGAGCAACATCATTGTAGTTACCTTACTCTTACTCTTACTCATTGCATTGTGAGTCAAAATTATAAGTGGTAACACAAACTGGTCTCCCTAACTGACATTAATGATATGGTATGGTATGGGGTGAGATAATCATATTAAGCACTTATCATTTTAATTGGATTAACTTTGCCATAGGATATTGTCTAATTTCGTAGTTCTAAAAATGCAGGATCTTTCTTTGTTCTAAAAATCTGACAAAGTTTGTATATGCTAAAATTATTCTTTTAATTATTGTATCTTTACCCTCAACTTTCTTTTGAAGAATTCAGGACAGCATGCAAATTGCTTCCTCCATTTTTATTCACACAAGACATTACATTATTAAATCAATTTTATTGCAGTCGTTAACTAGCATAGTTGTGAAAAATTAAGCTGAGAGTATAGTGAGCTAGCTGTAGATCACTTATAATTTATTTTCTTATTTATATCCCAATTTTCAGAAGGCTAATTCTTCCAAAATCACATATAAGCATCATTAGTACATGATTTGTTAATACCTTAATAAATACCATAAATATATGACAATCCTTCTAAGGATAGTTGATAGTAAAACACAGAAAGAGAGCAACCTCTGGGATCCTGGATCCTGGGAAAGTTCAAGAATCTTATGGAATGTCTTTTTAATGCCAGGGAACTTGTAAGTATAAATAATTGCAAGCTGTGCTATAACATTTGGTCAACAAGCTTGCTTTCACTTTAATTTGCAACTCAACTTGGGCCAGGAACTCAAGTGTTGGACTAGGATTGAGCTGGGGACCGTTTGGTCTGGCACCTGGGTGGGAAGCATATTACTGTTTGTATTTTTATGGTTTGTTGCAAACTGCCTAAAATCTGCATGAGCCTAGGCAGCCATATAAGTCCTGCAAATAAATGAAATAAAATAAAACTCCTGTTAAAAAATACGTCTTATTTTTCAGGTTGTCCTGGAGACTGAGATCACGAACAAGTCTGCATTGAAACTTTATGAAAATCTTGGCTTTGTGCGAGACAAGAGGTTGTTCAGATACTATTTAAATGGAGTTGATGCATTGCGTCTTAAACTTTGGCTGCGTTAATTGGAGGACTTCTCAACAAACATGGCAGCAGCATCTTTTGCATTCAATGCAATTTGTGTGGAATTGCTTTGCAGTTGGACATAATAACTTCCATACAGCTCTTCTTTGTGAGTGTCTCATCGAGCATTGCACCTAAATTGTTGCACTGTGTGGCATGGCGCATCTTGTTCTGAATTTACAACAGGTTGTTTCAGACTTCAAACCCTCTTGGTAACCAGGAAGATGTGCCAATAGGTAGCCAAGAGCTCCTCTTTTCATTTGCAAGTCTACTGACTCCTGTTATATAAATGGTGAACATTTTATCAAGAACCTGTGTATACAGAACACAACCTTTTTTCTTTCTTTTTTTTTTTTTGTTTGTTTAAGAGAGAAAGAAAAGCCAATGTAATTGTAAAATTCTATAAGTATACTAACATTTCATACAAATCTCACCATAGTTGTTTTTTTCCCTGGGGAAAATAAAAATTACTTCAATTTTAGGTTTTATTTTTCAATATTGAAGTTTCCATTCTTAAATATTGGTACCTCAGTGATTAGTGGATGAAAAAAATGTATTGTAGGGTGGGGTGTGTGTTACATCGAGTAACGGTAACAATTAAATTGCGTCTGCCAGTGCCTGTAGAAATACGTATATTTGTCTCCACTGCTAATTTGAGTGCATGCTTTCTTTTCTTGATTTTTTTTGTCTTTGCAAGAATGGCTTTTATTTAAATTCTGGATTTGATAATAAATTATTTCATTTATCATTTGGACAGAACTCCCATGTGAGGGCTTAAGAAGCCCTTGTCTTACAGTAAAAAGTCTAAGCTATTTTTTAGAAGAACAATTTTGAGTAGCTGCTAAAAGGGAGTCTGATGCACTTTTTCCTTTAAAGAGAGTGAGGGATCTTTTTAAAAAGCAAACAACAAATTAATGTAATCTGAATTAACTTTTATTTAATTAGAATTATCACTAGAATAGCTAAAGAACCATTATTTTTAAACAGTTGAATGAATTTAAATTCTGCTTGGACTCATGCTTATCTTCCATGTTTTAAAAATGCTTTGGTCTTTAGTTCTTGGTCTTGAAAATGAATTTCAAACCGCAATACCATGTTTGTTCTTCAGCTGCTTTCACTTTATTTTTTATTTTAGAAAAGCCAAATCTCTTGCAGTTTTAATTTTTTTCTGAATCATTTGACAGAGGAGTGTCCAAAGGTTGGTTTTAAGTTCTTCCCTCTTTTTAAAATCTACTACATGAGCTTGTATTCTTTTTCACCAGTTACACTGTGTACTTCTGTCTGTCAGTGCAATATGTAAAGCAAATCACTTCTTTTTGGCAGTTCAGCAATGACAGCATTAGTATATAATATATAAAAGCAAAACTTAAGATTGATCCCAAGTAACTCATGGGAAAAAAATCTTCTATTGATAGGAAACCCTTCAGAATTCAAGTTTGCCTTACTATGTAATATGTTAAGTTCAATCGATCATTTTATAAAACGGTTTAAGTTACTGTAAATTTGAGAGGACTTTATCTCTAGTCCCCCTCTGGAGAAGAATACCCATTCTGGATAGTTTAGCAAATTTAAAGGAAGGCCATCCTTATTTTGCACAGTCTGAGCATCTCCCCCACTATGTATAAGTTGTGAATTGTATTTGGGAAAAAATAAAGGATTTTAATTTAAAACTGGCACTTATCTCCTGATATATTTTGTATAGCTTGCTTCCCCTTTTTTCTTTCATCCTCTTGATGGTTGAGTTTGAGTTCTTAGCAACTTTCTGCCCTGTTTGCAGCACCAGGCTTGAACAGCAGATAATGGAATGCTGAGCACCATCAAATATTTTAACCATGCCCTTTTTAGCTCTAGTGTAGTCTTCCTAGTTGGCTATATTTACTTCACCTGGAAGGTGTCAGACTGAAGAAAATCCTTCTAAACCACCAGGTAAGCCCAATTTGCAATGAATTGAAATGTTTAGACAATAGGGCAATAATGCTAAATTGTGATAACATCAGACTGGAAACTTCGTTTTTACTTACTTACTTTTTTTTTTTAAGTTTCCTGCAAGTGAACCAGAAAAATTAGAGAATGCCCCTAAGTATTAATTGCTTTCAGGAGAATTCTTGTGTTCATTCCTTTTGGGCTTCTTTGACTCTAGTTAACAAAGTTTCCATGTTCTGGATTAATGTGTTGCTGGTACTTGAATGTGTTATAGTAGGAGGGTTTTTCCTAAGATTTAAATCAATAATGAATTATTGTTTAATTCATAAGGCTTCACTGCTTTAAAATACCTGTTAAATAGGAATATGAAATAATTAGGAAATTAGATTTCAGACTAGGAAAAACCTCTAAAAAAAGTTGTATACCACATTATTTTTTGACTGTCAATATAAATTCATTGCTTTAAAAAAAATAAGACAATCAGAAGATAGATTTAAGGCTAGTTCTCTGGATGATCTGAAATATTTCTGTCTATGTGTTCCCTCACTCTTCCCCCCCCCCCAAAAAAATTCTTGTGCAAGTGCTAAAATGAAAGTAGCTGAGAAGATCATCAAACTATACGTACCACCAATAACCCCCAAAACCAGGAAAAATAAATTTCCCATAACAATATGGAAGCTTCAGACCAAACAAAAAACCTCTGGCAAAAAAACAAGATAGAATGAAGTTGCATACAAAGTCTAATCTGATATTCAGAAATTAGCTGCTGATGCGAACAAAAATGGGTTTGGTGAAGGACTGGAAGCTTAAATACCATACAGAGGTACCTTTCTTCACTTTCCAACTCATGTTCTACAAATGGCATTTGAGCTAAATGGCTTGCGAGATTGGGAAATATACAGCTATCCCAATTAGTGCCTATTGTTTTTATTTATATATATATATATATATATATATATATATATATATATATATATATATATATATATATGTGTGTGTGTGTGTGTGTGTGTGTGTGTGTGTGTGTGTGTGTGTGTGTGTTTTCTGAGGTTTTCGCGGGTGTTTATATGTAGGTCTTTGGTTATTCGGGTTTTCTCCCGCGTAAAATTGGAGGTTTCTTGGCAACGTTTCGACGAAGTCTCATTCGTCATCTTCAGGCTGGTGTTCTCGGCTTCGTGCTTCTAGGAGCAATGCTAGATATATATATATGGAATATATATATATATATGGAATAACATATAATTCCATATATATATATATGGAATAACCATGTTCATAGATACTGGTTTGAACTGTTCAGCAGTGTTGTTTCGTTCTCAAATATTTGGCAACATTTCTACTCAGTTCAGTCAAATATATTGACTCAGCATTTAACATTCAATTGTTAAGCAAAATGTATATGACTTGTGATTGTATGATAACATTTAAATAGTAATTCTACATTGCAGAACCTGTGGAAATATAGGTCAGATTCTAGTGAATATACAAAGTATCTTTGCCTAAGTTAAGAAAGCAAAATACATCAGAAGACTTGCTACTACTACCACAACCACACTGAGTTTGTACAAATGGATCCAGGTTATCCATTTTACCACAATAAAAGGAATTTTGTCCTCAGGTTCAAAAATATATCTGTTCTGCACTGAAAAACCACACACCACAGTTAGTCGTTGACTCAAGAAACAAGGCTTGGCAACTAGTTACAAGTTCACGCTACAAGTTCTAACAGTTGCCAAAGTATCATCTGATTATAAGATTGTTTCCCTATTTTAAAATATTAAAACTGCAAGATGAGCTAGTCTGTAAGAAAGAATATGAGTTTGTGAATCTCTTTGCTGTTTGTTTATGTGAAAGCATAAGTGAATGAAATATATTCACCCTTCATCATTAGGGTTTTGGTTGTGCACTTATAACAAAAATCCCTAGTGATAGCTGACCATAACACATATTTGCAACATATGGATGTATAAAAGCTCTTTAGAAATTAGGCCTACTAACTTAAGCCCTTTAATTATCCATTCTTAATAAAATACAAAGCAAGCTGAAAATACAGTAGATTGTTTTTTGTTTTGTTTTTAATTGAAAAAGTTTTTCAAATACAAATTTTTCCCCCTTTCCCCCCCCCGCTCCCTAACCCCCCCTCCCCCTCCCCTCCTCCCATGGCTTCTACAAGATGAAATCCAAATTAATATCACATTATATAATACTTTACCACCCTTTTACACCACCCCCTATGTGCTAAACATTTCTTTCTAACATTATTATTATGTCCCTCATATACTATACATTTCAAAAACAACATTCGGCTATGAAACTATATAATAAATCCTAATAAGGCATTTATTCTACTCATAATCCACCCATTTCCTCCACCCCCATACGTATATCTCTTAATTCAAATCTTTTAAGTATATTAATATCTAAACGTAACATCCTTTTCCTAAACTAAGCAATCAGTAGCGTTACCCATCACCTTATACCATATCAGTTTTATTTAACCCCTTTCCTACAGGTCTACCATACATAATATATTTAATATCTTTATTCTTCTGTCCATATTACTAAAAGATATTTCCATATATAAATAAAACCCTCAAATGACTTTAAATTTGTATTCCATATAGTATCTTCTGTAATGTCTTTCAACTAGATTGTTAATTCCATTGACCATGTTAGGGTAACATCAAGTCCTGCTTCCAACAGTTTATTCAGTATTTCTGTATATAAAAAAACCCACTGAGTGACTTTATATTTATATTCCATATGGTGTCTTCTGTAATGTCTTTTGTCTAGATTATTAATTCCAACAATCACGTTAGGGTAACAGCCAGATCATCTGCATGCCCCAGTTCCATAGTTCTCTTGCCTTATAGCTCAACATGTACGTAATTCATTTTTCAGAGAATCCAAAATAGACAGTTCCAATCCGCTCAATCACAGGCCATCTTCCACATCCCAAAAACACCAGCACTGCAGAGATCTGTTATTCTTCTCAAAATAGTATAAGTCTGTAATTTGCCTCAGCTATATTTTCATGTATCAGCCTTCTATAAATCCCGCTTATTATATTTAATCGTCTCTTAAATAACTGGCATTAATCCTTTGGCTAAAAAAGAATTGTAGTTTAAAAATTTTTAGTTTTGTAGAACCTGCTTCTTCTTTTCTTAACTTGTTGTGGTTTAGATCTCCACCCTGGTTGCCTTTCTAGGACTTGTATGTCAGTTGATTGAATTACATGCTGGTCTTTAACTTGATAAGACATCAAATCGAGATCCAGAGCCGCCTTTCTTGTATTTATAGGTGATCCAGCTATAGCCTCTGAAGGAGAATCCAAAAGCGGCTCATCCAAAAAGCCCTCTATAACTTGTTGTGTTTCCATTACCTCCATCTCCATCTGCTTAGCCTGAGTTTCATTCTCTTGTTCATTTTGCTTTTCTTTATCCCCCTTCTGTATTCCAAACACTGATGACATACGTGGAGATGTTGGGCTCATTTTAAAAACCTTGTAGTAAAATTCTTCTGCTTTTTCAACAGTGTTTAATTGATATCTTTCTCCTTGATATCTCAATATTATACCAACTGGAGCATCCCACCTAAATGGGATGTTTTGTTTCTTTAGCTCAGACACCAAAAATCCAAAGTCCTTTCTATCTTTTAACATCTTGGACGGCAGCTCTTTATATATCCAAATCTTCCTTCCGTTCATTTCTAGAGTGGAGTTAAAAGACTTTTGCACAATATCATTTCTTATTCCTTTATCAGTAAAATAAATCACCACATCTCTAGGCAATTGTCTTTGCTTTGCCACCCAGGAATTTACTCTGTAGGCCTTATCAATCTTACAAAATACTTCTTCAGAGCTGACCTTTAAAATCACAGCCAGAACTTCAGCAGACATCTTTCTCAAGTCCTCTCTGGTATTTTCCTGTATTCCCCTCATTCTGATCGCAAATTCCATGGATCTGAATTGTATCATTGTAACTTCATTTTCAATCCTTTGCTTTATATTATCTACATTGTAAATCTTGTGATCAGCTTCCTTCATTTTAGACTCTACTTCTGAGCTATTTTCTTGAAACATTGTGAAATCATTTTCAATTCTTTGTATTTTATTATCCAGATTATGAATCTTATAATCAGCTTCCTTCATTTTAGACTCTATTTCTAAATTGATATCTTTATCTATCTTTATCTATCTTTATAATTACTTCTGAAAAGCTTTTCAAAGCTGTTACAATATAACACTTCAGGTTATCATACTTTTGTTGAACCAACTCTTTAATTTCCTGTCTAAATTTTTCAAGATTCTGGTTCATAATCTCATCATGTCTTGCCAACTCCTCCACAACAAATTTCTTTAAATCTTTAAAACCATTCTTCTGCATCTGCGAGCTCACAAATTGCTCTTGTGATTTATAAATGGGGGAGCCCCCCCCCCCAGCTTGGTTGTCTGGCTTTGTCAGTTTTAACGCCATCCTGCCACACAAACAGACTCTTTTTAAAGAAAAAGACTTCTCTCCATACAATATCAATATCAAGTCTCTAAGAAAGGAAGAAACATGAAACAAAAATTTTTCTCTTCTCTTGTAGCCAGCACTATTGCTTCAGATACTTTGTAACATATTAAACCATTCAAACGGAAGGACTTTCGCTTTCAGCTTTCTTCTCAAGCCTCAGCCAGCCGCCATTTTAAACTTTTTTTTTCCGCTTTCACTCTTTCTTCTTTCTTAAAACCAATCATAGGGTTGTT